CTTTTTCCGGTTTGTTCTTTTGGGTTTTGAGACAGGGTCTTAGCATGTAGTTCAGGCTGGCCTTGAACTCACTGCATGGCCTCACTCTTGGGGGAGATCACAGACATGCAGCACCACGCAAGGCACAGAGCATTTCTAAAACTGAACTCCCGTCTGCCTCACCGCCGGCTCCTGCTTTCTGGGCTCTGACGCTATGCGGCCCGTAGCCCTGCCTTTGCTCCTGTGGGGCCCCCTGCTGTCCCTCAGCCCAGGCTCTGGCACCTCAAGCACTGTGGGCTCCCCCGCCACAGGCAGGAAGCACTGGGAATTTAGGTCAGCCAGGAGCAGCTCCCTGGGGCCTGTGCCAGTCACAGAGGTGGCAGCTTGAAGGCAGACCAGTCCCTGGGCCAGCCTTGGGGTTACCACAGCCCCAGCCCACATCCTCACTGCAGCGGGTGAGCACCCTGCGTGGGAATACCTCCATAGCCAGGCTGGCCTCAAACTTGAGATGACCATCCTGGCTCAGCGTCCTGAGTGCTGGAATTTAGGGTGCGTGCCACCAGGCTGGCTCCACAGTGCTTTAGCAAGTGAACTTGGCCTTGGGCTTTGTTTCTCAGGGCCTTCCAGCTTCTAGCCCCCAGTGACATCCACATTGTACCCAGGGAACAGAAGATCATATTCAAAGTGGTCAGCAGATGTTCCTCTCTGTGCCATGGTGCCTTCCAGGGGTTTCTGCCTGAGCCCACTTGGGTCTGACAGAATCATACCAGAAGCCCAGTGGTTTATTTATTTATTTATTTTTCTTTATTTTTGAGACAGTGTCTCACCATATAGCTCAGGTAGGCCTTGAACTCACTGTGCAGCCCAAGCTGGCCTTGAATTTTTGGCAACCCTCCTGCCTCAGCCTCCCCCAGCCCCAGTGGGTGTGGGGCTGGTTCTGCATTGGTGCGCCACTGCTGGACACCAAAGCAGCCCCAAGAGAGTCAGAAACCAACTCTGGGGCTGGGTGTGGTGACACACACCTAGAATCCTAGAACTCCATAGAGACCCACATTCCGGATCCCAAGCCCATTTGCAAGGTTCTTCCCTACTTGTGACAAGGATGATGTCTCAGAGGAAGGGCGTGGGGACAGGCTCTTATTTTCCAGGTAGCAGGAGAGACAGGGTGGGGTCCTCAGCTCCCTGATCCTTGGCTTGTCTCCTGATCACTCCTTGGACTCCGAGCAGCACACTCAATGCAGCGATTTCCATCCCAGGGGCAAATCAAAGCTCTACGGGGTTCCACGCGACAAATGCCCTTGAGGATCGTCCACGTCTTGGTAGGGCCTGGGGGTGCACAATAAATCCCTGGGTGGGATTTTCATATAAACCACTGGGGAGAGTGTCACAGAATATCTCTTTCTTTCTGCTTCCTTCCCAGTAAAAACCCTAGCCGAGAGAAGCGGCTCAGGAAATGTCACACAAGCTCCACTCCTGCTTCACTCTAGAAGAAAACTGACCCCGGCCAGGACTTCCGCTCTCCTCGGGCCACCTGCAGACTTCAGATGTGGCTGAGGACAGAGGAGCAGTGTCGCCCCCTCCGAGGCAGCGCCCACTGCCTTTCCGGAAGTCTTTGCCCACATCAAAGCGCATCTCAAAGGGCAGCTCCGGAGATGGCCACGTGACGCATGCAGCGTGCAGCGCAAGTCCCCCTGTGCGGCTGCGCTGCGCGCTGAGCCTTCTTTGCTAATAATAACCCTCCAGCCAAGCAATTAAGCTGTGGGCACATTCCAGGGGCACCAAGAGCTGACGGATTTTTGGCCCCAGAGCTCTTACTGAGAATTGCACCAATTTCAGATTTCAAATTGAGTTAGGCCTAAATCAGTCGTCTAAACGCTTTTCCCCCCATCTTAGAATACTAACCTCCCCAAGCATCTCTTGTGACCAACCTCTGGCCACTTCCTGCCTGGATTTCCTGCCTTGTGGCTCCATAAAGTCATCACCATTGGTCAGCCAAGGGGCTGACACATCTGGGCTTCCATCCAGCCAGGATGGAGCTGTTCACACAATGCACAAGTCCTGAGCTCCCCAGAAGCGGAGTGAGGCACAGCAGAGGGGGAAGGGACTTGTGACCCTACATCACTGCTCCAGAAGACAGTGACAAAGAGGAGGGCTAGCCAGGTGTGGTGGTGCACGACTGTGATCCCAGCACTTAGGAGGCTGAGGCAGAAAAACTACCCCAAACTTAAAGACAGGTGGGGAGCTGTTTGGGGGCCAAGAGGAGGGGATGGGGTGACATTGAGAGTGTCCCTACACGGTACAGACGCACAGCATTATATGTGATGTGGGTCAAGGATGTGGCTGCTTGTGTCAGACCTAATGTTCCATTCCTGGTTCTGCTACTTATAAGCTCAGGGGCCTTGGGTCTCAGTTCTGTCCCTTTGTACACAGGAACCACAGTACCACCTCCTGGGGAGGGGTGCGGTCACCCACACACAGCTCTCAGTCAGTGCGTGGCCATTTCCAGTGATCCATCAAGGAAAAGCATCATCACTGTCCTGCAGCTGGGTGGCACAGCCCCCAGGGACACGTGGTGGCAAGGTCTGCCTTCCTTTGAGGGCATCAGGGGGTTCCACATTTGCCTCAACTTACAGCCAAGGCCCTGATCTGAATGCATCAGGCCTGCCAGGGATGACCATGTTAGGGCCGAAGCCCTGAGCTCAGTGTCCCCACTCTGTGTACACTGTGTCCAATGCAGGGGGACACTGCAGTCCGAGCTCAGTAAATGGACGTCACTTGATACTCTTTCGTTACAGGGATGGGGAAATTGAGGCCACCATGTTCGTCATTTCCTGGCCTGAGAAAAGCACATGGAAGGCGTCCCTCCTCACCTCTGCATCCTTGCTGAGCACACCCTCCTGGGAAGGGTGGGGCTGCTGCCAGCTGCACGGCAGTGGACAGAGACAGGCAGCATTCTGAGATGGAAGTGGCCGAGGAGGAACAGGAGCTGTGGAGGAGAAGGAGCATGCTGCCCCCAGCTTTCCAAGGTGCTTCCTTTCCTGCCTGGGAGCCAGCTTCTTGGGACATGCATCCCATTTGCCTCCTTGCTGACTCAGGCCTCTAGAACATGACTCTCCTTCACCCAGCTGCTGAGAGAAGCATTCAGGGGTGAGGGCCAGGGGTCCACCCCCAGAGTGGAGACCGATGAATCAAGCGTGAAGGCAGCCGGAGCATCTGCACACCCTGGAGCAGCCGGCTGCCTGCCATTTCCTCCTCTGCCACCCTTATTTGGAGCCCTTGACAGCTGAGCCACAAACAGAGCAGGGAGCTGGGTGCCGGCCAGCCGTCACCCTCCGCTTCCCTGAGCTGGTCCTGTTGTCCGGGAGAAAGAATCCTGCGGCACGGTGGCGCTAAGATAACCAAGGACTCTTTTGCTCTTCTCACACCTTTGAAGAGGGGGCCTCTTGAGGCAAATCAGCAAGAATGTGGCTCTTGCAGCAGGGGGTCCGGGGGGCTGCTGGGGCTGCCCAAGGTGGAGGGGTTGGCAGCAGCTCTGTTGGACTGATAACTTTAAAAGGGCATCTTCTGCTGGCTCCTCACGCTGCCGCTTTATCGCTGCAAGTGACACAATGGGGAGGGTTCTAGCCCTCCTGTGCTAGCCGAGCTGGGGGGCTATAAAAACAGGACGCGCTGGGCAGCTGGGAGATAGTGACGGACTAAGGCTGAGAGGGAAGCCACAGAGGACAGAGGCAGCAAGCACCAGCTCGCTCCTTGACCAGCATCGGCATGGGCTCCTTCTCCACCATCGCTGTGAGCCTCCTCCTCTTCCTCAAATTCCAACTTCCAGGCCACGCTCAAGCCAATCCCATGTACAACGTCATGTCTAATGCAGACCTGGTGGATTTCAAGGTAGGGCCAGAAAAGGGGGCACAGCCCTGGACCCAAGGGCTTTTGGACACTGGGTCTATTCCTCTTGGTTTTCTCAGCCAACGAGACCTCACCCTCTCCTTCTCCCTCTCCCCGTGTTTTCCTTCTGTAAAGAATTTGCTGGACCACCTGGAGGAGAAAATGCCTCTAGAAGACGAGGTGGTGTTGCCGCAAGTCGCAAATGAGCAGAATGAAGAAGCAGGGGCTGTTCTGAGTGCCCTTCCTGAGGTGCCTTCCTGGACGGGGGAGGCCAGCCCAGCACAGAGGGAAGGTGGTGCCCTTGGGAGAGGGCCCTGGGACTCCTCTGATCGATCTGCCCTCCTGAAAAGCAAGCTGAGGGCACTGCTCACCGCCCCTCGGAGCCTGCGTAGGTCCAGCTGCTTCGGAGGCAGGATGGACAGGATTGGAGCCCAGAGCAGCCTGGGCTGCAACAGCTTCCGGGTAAGAGGAGATGGGGATGCAGATGGGGTTGGGGTTGGGGATGGGGGTGGGGGTGGGCATGGGGTGGAGGTGGGAAAGGGGATGAGGATGGGGAATGGGTGTGGGATGAGGAGGAAAAAAATGATTGTTTTGTTGAGACTGAAATCTTGCCAAAGAATACTACTAGAATGTTTTTTTCTTTTTGGAATTGGGGATTGAACTCACGCCCTTGCGCTTGCCAGGACAAGTGTTCATTCTACAGAATGGTGCATTTGATGATAGAGGGAGAAGAGGGGAGACTTACTTCTGAGATTCCAGCCCAAACTTAGCAGGTGTCCCCTAAGTTGAAGACAGTCCTAGTAACTCAGCTGCAGCCTGGGAAAAGAAAGTGCTTTAAAAAAAAAAAAAAAAGCAAGCAAGCTGTGGCCACCAGCACTGGGAAATCCGGACTCTCATGAGTCAAGCCATCTTTGCTCTGTGATTAGCAGTTTGTGTCCCTCCCTATGATGACCAGATGTTGAAGGAGTTAAGGGAAATCAACAAGGCCAGCCATTCTTGGCTCTAAAGAGGAATTGCTAACCATCTGTGGGCAACTCAGAGGGTGATTAGACTGCAGTGGGTGGAGGGAAGCAGCGGGCCAGGGCTCAATTTAAGAGTTCCAGTACTGTCCTATGAAGCTGACTTTCCCAGTACGGCTCAGGTCACCAAGCCAAATATGTTTTTCTCTTCATAGTATCGAAGATAACAGCCATAGAGGACAAGGTTGGCCAGGCCCCAGGGCAGACCAAGAGACCCTCCTCCCCTGGGGGCTCTCCTGCGTTGAGGTCTCACGTCATGGGAGTTGTGATGAGCACGGATTGGAGCTGCCACTTCCTGTCAGCATTTCTCACGTTTTGTGCTATGCCTAGCCAGAGGGGTTTCGTTGTGGTTTTCCCACCTCGCCCATCCCATGCGTCACCCTAGACCTTCACCCATTACTGACAGCAGCTGGAAAAATAAATAAATTTCAGCACCTCGGACAGAAGCCAATGCCAGACTCGTGCTTTCTCCCTTTCCCAGGACCCAGAGTCCTGGTCATTTAACCCGTTGTAAGAGAAGATAATGCTTAGCCTCTTTCTCATTATTTCCTCATTTTATTTGTGTTTTGTATGTGTGTGTGTGTGGGGGGGGGTGTTCCAAATCCTCAACCTGCTCTGCTCACACTACAGCGCCGAAGACCAGAAGGGCACTTATTTTTATCTGGATCTGCTCATTTAGAGCCCTTGCTTACTGAAATCTCACAAACATCTGGACTTATTTTCCTGGCTCTAGTAGCGTTGCATGTACGCAGTAGACAGCAGTCTCAGTGCGCTTCACAGTTACAGCTTGGGTGTGTTTAGAAAATGAGGGCCCTAAGAGGATTTTCTCTGATCCATTTGACTGAACTTCCGGTGTGGACAAGAGTTGGCAGAGTGAGGGTTTTAAAAGCTGAGCAAAGAGAAGAAAGGTCTGTTAGGCTGAGAAGCCACGGGTTCCTGGGCTTTGGGAACTGCTGCGCTGCTAACTTTGAGGCACTAGGGATTGATCCCAGGGAACCACACGCGTGTGGAAAACAGCCACAGCCCTTCCCTAGTTCAGCCCAAGGTGCCTGAACCAACGGACGGTCCTGCGGGGATGAGCCACTGGGGAAGAGGCAGTGTTCTTGTATCTGCTGTTGACGAGGCACTGTCCTGGGCAGAGCAGGCCAGGCACCGAGTCCACCTTGAAGGTCAGGAGTGGGCCCCCGACCACCTCCCATGCCTACTCTTCGCCCAGAGTCTCCAAGCCCCCCTTCACCTGTGTGCCCGCCTCTTCCTGCCCTGTTCCCGTGGCTCCTTCTTTCCTACCTACAATGCCCAATTCTGAGGTCCTTTTGAGGATGTTATGTTACTCCTCCAGGCTCACTGGAAAAGCCTTCCGAAGCCTTTCCTGACACCATGCCCCCAGCAAGAGCCAGTCTATCTCCAGGTGGCATCTCCTAGCTGTCAGAGACAATAGCTATGTGTGTGATCACGTGTCCGTGTTCCTAGGCTCTGTGAGCAGGCGACAGCTCTCCAGTCAAGGCTCCGTAACCAATGCCCACACCACGTTAGTGCTGAGCAGAAATGGGGGGGAAGGAGGGGAGAACTAGGCAGCAAGGTGCTCCTCGTAGAGCAGAGGGGTCCAGAAAGGACCAATACTAGGTGCTAGAGATGACAAGAGAATTGGACTCATTTCCAACCTTAATGTTCTTCATTTACACTTCAAATATGGAAGGGCAGAAAGGCCAGAATAACTGGAGGGACCAGCGTGAGACACGGGGAGGGGGTCTCTGAGCTTTGCTGCACGAGTCCGGTTTGCTAGGAGGGGCAGTGCGGCAGCTGGGTGCACTGCTGAGCCGGCACCATAACACAGGGTTGTCAGGGAACAGCAATGACAGCTCGCAGGCAGAAAAGGCCCCTGCATGGGAGCAAACACGGAGCGGGCAGGGGAGCCAGCTGGGCTTTCCTGGTGGAGTGGAAAAGCAACATTTCTTACAAAACAAAACCACATGAACAAGAAGCACTGCCAAAAACCTGTCACATCTCAAGACCTGGCGTCAAGTCTATTTTCTCAGCAGATTGGGGGCAAACTCCTAACACGACACCATCAGTAAACCAAACGGAGGCTGGCACTGGCAGGAGGAAAGGACCGCGACAGGAGGAAAGCTCAGTGGCTCCGCTGGGCCAGAGCTCATCTGAGGGCAGAAAAAACCCTGTGGCGAGCTGGAAACTGTAGGTAAGGTCCACAGAACCAGCCAGCTGTGGTGGCAGTACACTCGGGGGCTGAGGCAGGAGAGCCTCCCGGAGCTCACGGCCAGCCTGAACTGCATAGCGAGACCCTGTCTCAAGAAACTAAAACAAAAACAACGTCCACAGATGCACAGAACCAGATACATGCCTGCTAAAGGCAGCACCCTAGTACAGCGGGCAGACCCCATGGAGGTGGCAGCCAGCGGGGACCCACACACTAGCGCTGCAGCCCTTGTCTACTGGAAAGGAGTGGGATACAAACCAAGTGCCTTTCCTTCCAAGAAAGCACCGTGGAGACAAAGGTTAAAGGAGACAGATGCAGACATTTTATTCTGACGTGTCACCATGAGAATGTCCAAGTTCCAAAAGTTCAAATAAAAATAGAATTTTACAAATTAAAAAAAATACAATTTATATACACAGTAGAATTAGCTAACGGTACCATATACACGAACAGTGCAAACAGAAAGGGGGAAGCGGCGCTGCGGACATGACCGAGGCCTGCACAGGACAGCCCTGTGTGGCTGGGTCAAGGGCGCGCCCCTGCCAACCTAGAGTTGTGAATTTACCAAGGTCACGAGCAGATCATCCCCTGAAGCGTCTCCACGGCCAGGCCTGGCACCCAGCGCCCAGCCCCACTTCCGGGTTCCTGGAAGCAGCAGGCAGGGGACAAACACAGGAAACCCACTCGCTTCCACGATCTGGTTTTCCCAGGCGCCATGGCACTGGGGACGGGGCGGCGGGGCTGGGAAAAGACAGTAAGCACTGGACAGGAAGCTGGGGAGCAAGGCATGGCCACAGGTCCCGTGTGCAGGAGGCTTGTCTTTGGGTTTTTCTGGAAAGGCGCGGGTGGGAGGAGCCTGGCTCGGGTCCTCTATGGTGGCCTCCACTGGCTGCAGGGCAGGGAGGAATCTGCATTCTACTGTCTATTTCTGCGCTAAACTGGTGATGACTCAAACGCAAAGGATATGCACGTGGGATACATTCCTACAGTGTTCACCTGGGCAGCTGAGGCAGGCAGCAGGTGACTGCCCCGGCCAAGCTGGGGCCCGGGCTCTGCCAATGTGAGAGAGGGGGAAGTTCCTGTGATACAGTCACATACTTGCCTGGCTTATGCAATTGGTTTCCTGTTTAGTTTTGTGGTACTGGAGCTGGAACCCAAGGTCTCACATATGCCAGGCAGCTAACTGCTACACGAGCAGCACTGGTTTTTTTTTTTTTTTTTTTTTTTGCAGTACTAGGGATTGAACTCAGGCCCTTGTGCTTGCCAGGCAAGTGCTTGTTCTACTGAGCTACCTCCCTGGCCCCCTTTTTGTTTCTAACGTAAGTCTTGCCAAGTTGCCCAGGCTGACCTCGAGCCCTCCATCCTCCTGCCTCAGCCTCCAGAACAGCTGGGGTTACAGGCATGTGCCACCACGCCTGGCAACTGCTAGCCTTCCTGCTCTATGAGAGAACAACGTGGTTGAGCTCCAAATGCTGCCCTAAGACCCGGCAGCAGCCAGCATCCAGAGAAGCTGCAAAAATCAGAAGCTGTAGAAATCAATCATTTTGGTCAAAAACACAAGCAGGGTAGGGGACAGGACCACAGGGACGGGGAAGCAGCCCTTCGTGGGTGTGGACAGTCCTCCAGAGCACACTGTATACCTGACACCAGCTGGCCCGGTCCAAGCAACCCAAGCTCACACTGTGAGAAGCCAGGCCCGACCCAGAGGCCTCATGGGTTAAAAAACACTAACTACCAATGATGCCACCTGAGTCCCAAGAGCTGTTGAGGAGGGCTGCTGGACCGATGCCGACAGACGCCCGAGGCTGTGGGAAGATGAATGCGAACATGCTACCCTGGGTTCTCCCAGGCGCATGCTCCGAAGGAAACTGTGGCCTGGGAGGCACACCCAGGGCTGGGCTGGGCTGGGGTGCGTGCGGATCTCCTGTGCGCAGTGCCGAAGGCCCCAGGTTCCCTGCCTCCCAGCGCCAACAGCACTACAGGCCCAGCCCGAGCTCCCACCTCTGGCCGCTCAGGAGGACAGAGCGCTGGCCAGCAGGGGAGAGAGGGCTGTGAGGGGAGACGCTTCCCCTCTCAAAGCCACTGCTTCTCCCCAGCATGTCCTGCAGCGACCTGGCCCATGACTAACGCCCCCACCTGCGAGATGGTCTCATGCTGTCCCTCAGGGTTCTGTCTCAGGGCGCCCTGCTTTTGGTTAACTCTGGAGGTGAGGCCAAGACTGAGTTGTGCCGTCTCACCAGGAAGACACGCACAGACTGAGCAAGAGCAGTCACTCAGTGAGCAGGGGCTGGGGCAGGCGGGGAGAGACGTCAAAAACAAGCGGGACAGCAGTCTGACCCCACGACTGCACTCTTCATCACAGAACATCTGCGGGACTTTAATGCTACGTCCTGCAGGCCGGGGCTCTGAGGAGACTCACGCCTCAGGAAGCCAGGGCACCCCTCCGATCCACGGGAGAGGACAAGTGTCCAGGGGAGGCAGTCCCGAGGGAAGCCTTGTCAGCACCCCACTCCTCCACCTAGTGGTGAATGTGATTCTGCAACGGACCTTGGCCCAAGCCCTCCCAGAGGGTGAAGGCACCAGCAGGGCTCCCCAGGAGAGCAGGGAAGGTGGGGCTGGCTGGCTGCTGCCTCTGTCCTGGTCCTTTGGGGCCTGGGCAGGGCTATGCCAACGCCAGGCATGGGAAGTGGGGAGCAGGGAAGAGGGTACTTGCTGAGGTGGTCAGGGAAGTCCCGACTCTGACGACTTAACACCATTCCCGGCGTCTCTGCCCAGCAAGTGCTCCATGATTCCAGGCTTTCAAGAACATTTGTGTCCTGGGACAGCGCAGCCCGTGGTGGCCACGGTATGAGCAAGGAGCAGCGGGCGGGCGTCAGAGAGTCTGAAAATGCTGCCGCAGCCTCGCCTGCAGGAACTCATGTGTCAGGTTGTGTCGCGTGATGATCCCCACAATCTGGGACAAGAAGAGTCATGTCAACCATCCACCAAACCGCTGGTGACAAAGGGCGTCAGTCAGTCACAGGACACAGAGGGAGATAGAGTCAGAACAGGACGCATGAGGACCGGGAAGACTTGTCTCATGGCTCCCTACTTCCCTGGCTAGGACCGAGGCTGGGTAAGCAGGGAGCAGAAGCTGGGGCCCAGGGACACATACAGCGCCCCACGGATTCAGAGGGGCCAGCTCACATGCTCCCCACAGCCCACTGGCCTCACAGGTGTTGGCAAGAGGCAGGAACTCCAAGGCTTCAGAGTCTGAGACCCTGTCCCCGCCTTGGAGAGCTTCCTCCGGGAGCCCCTCTACATGCCTTTTACCAGTTCCTGCCATTGATGGGGGTACCCAAGGCCATACACAGTGCAAAAGGTCAGAATTGATCATAAGAGCTGGCCATGGGGCCAGTGAGATAGCTCAGTGGTCTAAAGTGTTTGCTTAGGCAACCGCAGGGACCAAGGTTCGATCCCTGGCACCGCATGCCATGCCAGCCCCACCCCCAGGGCAGCCTGAGCTGGCCACTAACTAACTAACTAAATAAAGCAATGACCTTAATTAGATCTTAGGCAAGCTTAGGCAAATGTGCAGGGACTTCGGTAAAATCCCGGCATCACATACCGCCTCAGCCCAACCCCCAGGGTAGGCTGAGCTGGCCACAAACAAAACAGAGCAGCTGGCCATGTAACCACAAGAAGGAACACAGTTCCATCTGAACTTGTGTCACAGCACGCTATACACGGGCCAGGTCACCTGGGTGCCACTTTCCTTTACAGGGGTATCAGTTCCTGGAGGGCTGTCTGGGGATACAGACCAAAAGCCCCCAAAAAGGACACTGGAGAAAGAGCCAAGGGCTGTGGGTACAGCTTGGCCCAGCAGCAATGAGAACTTTCACTCCCCAGCATCACAAAAACAAAAAGAGGGCAAGCTGACACGATGGTGGAGGTTTTCTGCTGGCAACAGCCCTTTCCCGGAGTGCAGTCAGCCTGAACCAAGAGCCATTTCATCCAAATTAGACACAAGAGTCTCTGGGAAAAGGAGTGAAAGGATGATGAAAAGCTGATGCGGTGTCCTCTGCAGGGCAAGGATGAGGGCTTGGTTCTGTTTGACCATATGTGATTTCTTATTTTTCTCAATTAAAAAACCAGTAATTATATAATAAGGGGAAAAGGAAGTTCTAAAAAGAAGAAACAGGAAGCCTGCTGCAATCATCACTGGGCGTCCAATCTTTTAAAATGCATGAGTGGCTGGTCTGAAGCGTTCTCACCAGCTGTTCTGAATCCTCACGACCAGGAGGGAAATGAGGAACCAGACTATGGTCACCGGGAAGGGACCCACGCGATGCTAGGTCTGCGCACTGAGCTAGTCCGGGTGGTGAGAAGGGCGCACAGCGCCATCTGCTGGCCATGTGCCCAGAAGGACAACATCGGAGGCCAGGTGGACAACCGGACAGTTGCCCTGTGGGCTGTGGGCTGAGAGCCTCCCTGTGGGACTCAGCAATGAGACCCCTGCTGTACCCCAGCCAGGGTCCCAAGGACTCACCTCCCCAACAGCATTCACCACGGGCAGGTGGCGCAGGCCCATTGTCCTGAACAGGTTGAAGACTTGGGAGACGTGGGTGTTGGGGGACACAGTGAAGGGCGAAGGGTTCATGTAGGGGGTGACATCCTGTACAGGGACAGCAAGAGTCACCCACAGACCATATGGAAATGACAGGACCAAGAGGCACATGCATGGGACCAGCCACTCCCTCACCACAATCATCCTTGGGTTGAGCAGAGTGAGGTCCAGGTCGTGGATGTCAGGGTACCGCGGGTAATCCTCGGCCATCTCGGCGTAGGAGAGGCGTGGCTGGCTGGCACTCTGCAATTCCAACCCAGACAACATCCTGGCACCAGGGCCACTCTAATCCTGTCCCTCTGAGCCGGGCGTGTACAGGACAGAGCCCCCAGCAGCTGCTTTGGAAGCAGTCAGCTCTGGCTGACTTCTAATTGGGTCATCCTGAAGCTTGAGGAGCTTCCCTTCCTTCTGCTGTGCAACCTCAAGGGTCTGCCGAGGTTTAATGGGGTCTGTGCTATTGCGTGGGAGCAGCTAGATGCTGCGCCCAGGTTCTAAGCCCCATACCAGCAGGGCCCTTGGAAGCAGTCTCCACACATGCGACTGGGTTAAAACAGGGTCACAGCGGTAGACCCTAGGCTGACATCCAATGACAGATGTTGTTACAAAACGGAGAATGAGAGTGATAACTGAAGCAAAACTGGAGCCATGTGGCTATGGCCAAGGCATGCCAAGCCCCGCAGCTGCCACAGGAAGTAGGCTGAGGCAGGCTGGGTCCTCTCAGCCCGCATAGAGGGCGGGGCTCTGCACCACCTGCATTTTGTACTTCTGACTTTGAGCGCTGAAAGCGAGAGTTTATGGTGATCTGATGCAGCAATCAGGTGTCAGAAACGCACAAGCTGTCACTTGTTCACTCTGGGCTCCAACATTTCCAGCTGGCCACTGCCCTCCCCCCACACACACACAAAGCTGTCCCCACGCGATCCACAGCCTGCTGGGCAGCCCCAAATCCCTTGACCATACAGGCATGGGCCAAGCCCCACAGGAGCCATCCTGTGTCACTTGTGCCGCCCCCCTGGCCCCTCGCTAGTGATACTGTCCTTTATCCCCCACCAGAGCCTTGGTGCCCCCAAGACCGCAACCCCACCCAAAAAGGCGTGTAGGGAAGCAGGTCTCCAGGCAGCTGGCTCAGTCTCCCATCAAGGACAGTGTGTGAGGGGATGGACTCAAGTGGCCCAGGGGCCACTGTGAACAACACCCCAAAGCCCAAATGTAAGAGAGAGCTGCAGCGGAGCTGTCAGGAAGGGCCAGGTGGTGTTCCTGCACCACAATTAGAAGCTCACTTGCATCAGAAATGAAAATACAGAAGCTCCATTAAAAGCCAGCAGGCAAAGCGGAGGACATGAGCAGAGGGCCCGGCTCGCCAGCCTCACATCACCTGAAGGCACACTCAGGCTTGAGGAACGTCCTCTCCTGCTGTGTGACCCTGAGAGTCCCCCGAGGCTTAATGGGGACTGTGCTATCGGGCTGGAGCAGTGGAGGCTGCGCCTAGGTCCTAAGCCCCATACCAGCAGCGACTTTGGAAGCAGGCTCCACATATCCAACTGGGTTAGGACAAGGTCACAACAGCAGACCCTAGGCTGACAGAGGGAACAGGAGGCTCTGATGGGCACGGAGCCCTAGAGAAATGCCCCATCTGGCCCCCCACTGCAGCATGTGGTCGGTGTGCACCCCAGCCCCAGTCCCCCCAAGCCTTACCGACTGGCTCTCAGAGTAGCAGACGCCGCGCACAAGCAGGGTCACGAGCTGTGAGCGCAGGACCAGCCCATGGAAGGTGAGTGGCCGGAAGCGTTCCTCCATGGTCCAGTCTTCGCTCGGGGACTGGTCAGGGTACAGGTTGGGGTAGGGGGTGTATCTGTTACACAGAAACCAGACGCTGCCTAGCACAGCCGAGCCAGGGCGCCCACCAGCCGCAGCACCACGGGCTGTACCTGCGCTCCAGCATCTGCTGCAGGAGGTCCTCCTTCTCGGCTGGCTCCTCAGGGGCTGCGTGCTCATCACACATGTTGCGCAGCTCGCTCGACGGGTAGGACTTCATGGACTGGCTCCGCTTGCGCTGCTCACCGGCACGGGTTAGGATGCTGGACTTCTGGGGTGAGGGCAGAGGCAGGGACAGGCTGCTACAGGGCACCCCATGGTCATACCCGTTGGGCTCAGGACCCAGGAGTGGTGAGGCCACAAGCAGCTCCTGGTGCAGGGCTGCACAGCTCTGGCTCAGGGGCTCAAGGTCACAGGAGCCAGTGAGAGCCCAGGGACTTGGCTGTAGGTTCTGCAGTCCATGCAGGAGCCATATTCCCCCTTCTATGGGGTTGAGGATTGAACCCCAGGCCTTGTGCACGCTGAGCAAGCACCCTACTGCCGAGCCGCACCCCAGCCCGACTGGTCGTTAGCTTCTTTACTTTGGGAAGAGCACCTGTGGACACGGCCACTCCTCCCACAGCCAGCAAAGCCAGAGTCACGTGGGCACAGGCTAAGCGGGACACGGGGCTCAGCCTCTCCCTGGCTTTGAAGTTGGGAATAACTGGAAGACAGAGACCAGCCAGCATCCACTCCTGCTGCAGCACCAGGGCATCCAGAGCACCCACAGTGCCGGCTTCCTGGCCCTCCTGCCAGCCCCTAGGCGCCCAACTGAGTTCTGGCTCTCTTCACCAGGCCCAAGGCCGCTGGGCTTGCCACAGCCCGGGAACCTCCCTTCCCTCCTCAGTAGATAGTGAACAGCAGAGCTGCTGACCTAGGCCACCTGTCTCCACAGTGCCTGTGGCAAGGTGAAAACGCACCTGTCCCACAGTCCTCACCTGTCCCACAGGCACTCTGTGTCACAGTAGAGACAATGCAGATTTTCCTAAGCCATCCTGGGTAGGGTGTGGCAGTGGAGGACAGCACGGCCACCAAGACCCACGGGTCTCTCACCAGCGCCACTCCCGAGTGCTCACTCTACCTTGAATTTGATGTTGTTGCTGATGAGCTGGTTGCCCTTCATGAACTCCTTCTCATTGCCCCGATTCTCAGTGACCACCGGGAAGGCGTGGTGCACGGTTGTGCGTAGGATGCTGACCAGGGACTGGATGCGCGTGTGCGGGTACACGTAGGTCAGGTTGGGCTCCATGATGTCACTAGCTCTCAGCCTGGGGGCAGAGGGAGACCACCAGGGCCAAGTGTGACAGGCTGTGCTGGCGCTTGTCATGGCCCAGGCTGCGGGGGCTGCCGGACCAGTGACTCCTCTGTGCTTCTGTCCCACTCACACGCACTTCTGATGCTGGGGTCACACTCCTGCTGCCACACCGGTGGACCTTTGCTCAACCCATGGCCCACAGCTTGCTACCAATGTCCTCTCACCACAGGCCCTGTGAGCTTGCCGGGGTGGCATCCCCTCTGCCATACTCCTGGGCATTGTCTCACCACTGAATGGATAATTAGACTAAACTAAACCAACCTACGGGTTCCTCTGGACACCAGGGGCTCACAAGCCATAGCCCATCAACCAAACCCAGCCCCACAGGATCTGCAGCGGCCTTCCTGCCACAACAGTAGGGCCGAGTGTACTACATCAAGACACACACAGCTCAAAGGATCTGCAAGGTGTCCTTCTACAGAGCCTATACCCTAAAGGCCTTGCTAACACCTAATGGAGACCCCACATATGAGGCAGGTGGCCAGGCATTATGCCAATCACTGGTGACAGGTGACATTCTGAAGGGTGCGTGTGGAGGGGCAGGTCTCACTCCTGGGATCAGTGTGCACTTAGTAAAAGCAATCACGCCACACACATGATCCAGAGATCCTCCTTCATATCAAACCAGGCTGCCACGTGAGCCTGACAACCCTGGGAGGCCTTGCCTGGTCCAAACTCTAGCCCCCGAGGGCTTGTGCTCAGCATCCCCAAACACACAGGGAACAATGTCCCTGCTTCCTCCAACCCGAGAAGCCTGAGCCACTGCTTCCTATGCTAAAGCTAGCATTCTTCCTGCCCTAAAGCTAGAAGTTCTGACACCAGGGCAAGACAGAAATAGGGCACTTACTTATCCATTTCCACCTCTGTCTCCCATTCCAGGAGTGGCACACCTCGAAGGCCCACGTGAATGTCATAAATGCCCTTATTAAAAAAGTCCCCTGTCCATTTGGCCACCTGAAACACAGAGCAGAGACCTGACAAGCGAGAGGCTCTGGGGTGAAGTGGGCCCCAGGCCCGAGAGCCCAGGGGAGGTGCTCACCATCAGGGTGATCATGATGGGGAGCCCGTACGTGATCTCGTTGGTGGACTCAATTAGGATGACTGTGAGGCTGATGGTCATGCGGACGACCCCACCCAAGAAAGCAGCGGCACCAATCAGCGCAAAGGTCCCTGAATAGATGTGGCCCAGTCCAATGTAGCTGGTGAAGGAACAAACCAAGAAGGGGCTTAGAAACACCTGGGCTGGGTGGTAGGGTGTGCAAGGGGTGAACGGAGTACATGTACACATACACACATGGGTAAACCCAGGTGCGCTCGCACTCTCTCTCACACACAGACACAGACACACACACCCATACCTTTTTAGGACACTGGCAACTAATCGTCCAAAAGCAGCTCCACACAGTAGTGAAGGTACAAAAAGCCCACTTGGAACAGAAATGCCGTAAGTCCAACAAGCAAGCAGGAAATAGAGGATGAAAAACAAGGCCAAGGTGATGGGGCTGAAAGTCCCTGCAAGGCAAGAAGTGACCTAAGTCTCACCAAAGGCCTACCGACTCTCCACAGATCAGCTCGGCCCTACAGGTGCTCGCGCGCCTTAGCTGGCTCTCTTCCTGGCACCAGAGGCTGGCCAGGCTGGCAGAGTGCAGGGAAAGGCCTGCTCCTGCGTGGAGTGAAGGGCGAGCCTGGCCCTCAGCACTGGTACACTCACCATCCTGGTGGAAGAGCTGGAGGATGGCAGACTCTTGGGGATTGAAGAAGAGTGTGGCCATATCATTGTAGGTGTCATTGGGACAGAAGAAGGTCTTGATACTTGAATTCACATCTTCTGATGTAACCTATGAAGGGATGATAAGTGAGTAAAGGGCCTGGACCATGGCGCTCCTGAGTCTTGGAGGGTGATGGCTCCCATGAGAACAAGGAGCCTGGAGGCAGCAAGAGCAGCTGACTGTGATGTTAGTTCTTTGCATCATGGAGTGAGGAATCAGGAAAAGAACCCTGCATTCACCCACGCTCACAACAAAATCTAACAACACTGCAGCTCGCCATGCCCTGGACTCTGCTTCCTCTCAGTGCTGATTCTGTAAGTGACACTGCTAACAGTCAGGCCCAGGAGCTGCAAGGATGGTGGGAAGGTGACAGGCAAGACAGATGGCTGGGGAGAACAGTTTAGGCCACCGCTGAGCTCAGAGACCCAAATGAAAACAGCCGTAACTCTGGATTTCTTCCAAAAGAAACCCACCTTAGCAGGAAGCCTGACAGCAGACAGAACGTTCCTGGCCCCCTGTCCTCCAAACACAAAACGGGGAATGAGACCAGGTTTGGTGAGCGCCCCCTGGTGGCAGGATGTGGCAATGGGAAAACACGCAGCGGCTCAGGGGCTCAGTGCAGAGCCGGCAGTGGACAAGCAGAGGGGACAGCTTAGTAAGCTCTAAAGGCAGGCTCTCCCAAGCCATGTCTGCAGGGGAAAATGTCCCGTGATCAGAGCACAGAGAAGCATCAGAGAACTTCCTGGAACCCAGTGTGTCTGCTACAGCAGAGCACATACTTCAAAGTCGGCTCTCACCCTGACTCTGCCACAGACTAGTGACCCTGGGAAGGTTTCTCACTGTGTGACACTTCAGCTTCCTCATCTATAAGATGGGGACAACCCCTTCCCTCAGGCTGTACATGCTGGCCAAGGCACCTTGATGAAGTCCTCACTGCGCTGGGGACGCTGCCACTACCCAGCAGGTGGTGGGAAGGGTTCTGTGAGGTGTCTGCCGTGGCTGTGGAGTGGCTGGCAGGCAGCAAATGTGTCAAACAATCCTAACCCTCCCCAGATCATTTTAGATTCTAAGAAGTTCTGCATTAAAGACATATATTTTAGGGGC